ATACTTTTATAGTTAGGTACTTGTGACGAGCTTAGTTCAACTAAAAACCTTTGACAACACGATTAAGCTGGAAAACGAGATCAGACCATTTATAAAAATTATGAAGTTTGTCGAAACTCGTCTTGATTTTGCATAAACCACATTTTTCGATTACACCCATTTGTTCTGCTTGACCAAGGGTCCTCATCAGCTGACCTTGGGTCACCCTCAAGAAGGCATGACTCTTGCGAGCGTCCAGGTTGCCACGAGTTTGCCAGCCTCCTCGTGGCCTGGTCGCATCCGGCGAGTAAGCGGCCTGACAGACGTCTGTCACTCCACCATGCCCAGTATGCTGCACACCGGCACGGGTGCCAGTCTACTGCAGACGACCAACTCTGCCACCACGCCTTCTTCAATTGGTCGGATCACGACCACATGTTCGAGTCCCATCCAGTCACCTTCGCCCAAGCGCCGACTCCTCCCTGGAGACGCGATCAACACCCCTTCGACTCACAGATCTGGCCCCAACCAAGTGGGAATCCCTTTGCGCACTGACGCCGTCTCCGGTAGCCTTGGTCCGGCCCAGATGCTTCAGGGTCTGGATGAACGACTGACTTGGTATGGACTGACAATGGCGGCTTCACCGTCACCACTGCAGCCGCTTGCTGCCGGATTCGAGTCTGTTTCTACCGACGTCAGCAAGTATGCAGGCCTACATGGAGGTCTTGATGGCTACACCGGCCTGATGGGAATGCGGCTCTCCGACGGCATAAATGGCGACTGGGCGCCCGGAATGGCTCCAGGGTCTGGGACGACGAGCGATACAACAGACGATTGGGTTGATTCGAATCACACCTTCGTACTGAGCTCGAGACCGGAGGCCGGCAAGCACTTGACAGCTCTCACAACGGCAGTCACCAACCTCAGCTCCTCCAATCAGTGCATCACCTCCTCGGGCTTCTTCTCCCATGGCGCTTCCTCCACCAGCCCCTTTTTGGGCTGCCTATCGCCCGGCCTCGAGCCTGAACCCGATCTGTTTCAGAGCTCGGACGTCAACTCGCCCAACGGGCCGCCGGTTGGTCTCCCACCCTCCAGGCCGCATTCGGCTGCTCATACCTCCATCGGTACCGTCAGAAAGGGAGCCTCGACGACGACGTCAATGTTGACTCCTCAGACTCTGATGCATTCAGGCCAGACTGGCGTAAGGATGGGCAAACGGAGCTTAACCCACGGCGACGTCGAGTGCAGACGCGACGAGCCAAAAGAGGCTCTTGAAGTTGGAGTGCTTTCGGGAGGTGGAGAGTCTAGCTGGCGGGATGTCTATATTGCCCAGTAAGTTTGCTCATCTTGACATCGAAATATCCATCGTAAATGAACTTTCGAATTAAGTATTATTAAAGATTATCAATAAGTTTTGAATAAGAACTTTGTCACTATTAATCAGTTGTGATGCTTTAAGGACGGATAGTTGACTTTCCTCACAATGAGCAGATGAGCAGAACTCACGATACATTTTGGGCTCATTTGGCCGTTTTAACCTAATCTAAGTCTCCTCAGCACCCTCAGCGAGATTTGATATTTGGCTACGAGTGCCAGTGGATCACAGGTCAGATGATACATTTATATTGGGATTGTTGATAACGTAAGTATGTTCGTCATGCCAATCAAGGACACTAATTATTTATTATATAAGTAGTTTTGTAAATTAACATATCAAGTCATTTCAAATGGATGGGGGGGGGTCCATTCTTAGAAATGAAGCGAACCAAATAAGCGCTGGGAATTTAGGACTCTGAGATATAATACCGTCTCACGGGGTAAACATTGAGAGCAAAATCTATGAAAAAAGGAGACATATTTGCGTCATTTTTGAATAATAAAACTATCCGCTATTCATACCTGATGTAACCTAGAGATTACTACAGAAACGTCTTGATTGTGAGAAGATGAGAATAATTATGAAGGTCTAATACGAAGTTAAAAGTACATACTAAAGGAGAGGATGAGCAAGCAATCTAAAAATTACATGTTTAGATAAAATGTTGTCGACCAAATGGAAGGCTTTTTTGACAGTCTCATGAAAATGATAAAGCTGACTTCAGAATAATTTTTCCGTTTTCTTTTTATAAGTAGGTATACTATACTACATAGAGATCTGATCTAAACGTCTCAAGAATATACTTATAAACGGACAGTAAGTAATATATTCATTCGATTGCTATGACATCTACAACTTTGCTGTATCGGCAGTCCCACCCCAGAAATGTGATATAGAAAAGGCATAGATTTTCTTGGAATGTATTCTTGTCCTGTGAGTTATTTTTGATATAAAGACGAAGATGATGCCGCATTCTGTTTGATCGCAATCTTCTTTAGCATTATAGTGTTGGTTTGGCCTCGTTTTCGCATCTTGGTCTGGGCGTCAAAGAGACGTTATGGAATGTACCTATTCCTGCCTCTGCCATAGCATTCATGATAGTTTCCAGCATCAAACCGTTGACTTGTTACATTCACAGACCTTTCCCAGGCAATGTTAAAATGCTGGAAATCATGAATCCTATGACAGATGCCGCAGGACTGAATAGGTTCCAAAAGTTCTCCCTGATGCCCCGACCAAGATACGAAAACGAGGTCAAACCGACACTATACTTTTTATTCTCCAAACTTCTCCATTGTATGAGCTGCATTCATGTTATTTGATTTAAGATGATGAAAGACCGGTAGCTTAATTTTACTACAATAGTATACTTCAATTGGACTTCACATAGCCTTGCTTTTCTTAGGGTGTTCTCACCAAGGCTGGGGTGAACTGCAGTTTCTCGGTCTTTTAAGCTCCCTTAGCGGCCTCGAGACGAATAAACTTGACACTTCGCCAATTATGCCACACTGCACAACTGTTCATGTGTCACAGAGCAAAAGTGAATTTCAAGGAAGACTAGACTTTCATCATATAACATTACTATTGTGGGATCGTCGATGAAACAAAGTTATATTTTCTATAGCAATCGACCACTACTAATATTTCGTTTTCGAGACTAACAGTAGATCTGATATAGAAGCCTGCCCCTCTTCAGCCATAAAATATGGACTAAACTAATTTATGTAAGGTCAATTCG